TATGGCTATTCAGTCTGTAGCTGATCAGTTTTCTAAGCTGACCAAATATAATATTTTACCATTTTAATTGCTTCTGATATATGGCTAAGAAATTATGTATTAGTGTTAAGAATTACACTTTTACTAGCGTGTGCATACACATGAATGCACACACCCATGTGTTTAGATTCTTAAATAATGACAAAACTTTTATAAAATTATTGTACACCAATAATCTATTACAATAATTACTAAATATTCTGCAGACATTTTCTATCATATTTACTGAATAAATAAGACAAACTTTTAACAATTAGTATTGGCCCACAAGTCTGGTAGTTCATCTCTACAGCTAGGAATCTACATTTATTCCATGTATGTCTACTGCACAATGACAAGACCCCATCATCAATGTTCAGAATGTAGTGCATCGAACAGAAAGTGTTAATAAAAGCAAATTCAGAAACACATCGGGATGCAAGATGACAAATGGGCCAGTTTTACCAGGATTACTTACTGACCCAGGGGGTGAGAGGAGGAGGAGGAGGAGGAAGATATATTATATATATATCCATTAGCAGGTGAAGGTTTTATCAGCAGGTCTTCACTATATACCATTACACAAAATGAAGATTCATTGTCATGTACAATGATCAGGCTTAAAAAAGCATTTCAGTGTAACTGAAACATATGAAATTTTTTTAAAGACACACACACAAAAAAAAATACACAACAGCAGCATATGTATGTATCGGCAGTGTACTTTAGAAAAATGTTCCTCAATGCAAGGTGAGCCATGGACATGGTGAACACTAATTCATAAACTGACTTTATAATATTATCAGAAGTTATGTGTTTGAAGGTTTGAAGTTGTTAATAAAATAGAAATATTATTGTGCGGTAGGAATGGGCTAAAATTATGTATGTCCCATAACAGTCGATACTGTAGGATCTTGTAAATTTAGTCATATTACTTCACATCCCATAAAAGACAGGAATTTTTAGTCTAAACAACTATTAGTTTCTCAATGATTCTGCCAAACAGAACCAATTGCCAGTAAGTTAGTAGCTTATACCACAGTTCAATGCTCAGTAATCCAACTAAAATTCTTAAAACACACCATTGCTATCACATAATAATTCACAGTTCATACCACTTCATCAAACCATTGTACCTTTTGAAATTGGTTACTGTTGTCATTCTGAACTACAATTATTACAATAATCTAATATTGAAACATATCAAAATTCTACAGCCAGACAGCAGCACTTATTCCCTTATAAAAATACATTTATTTCTACTCTAGCAACACAACTTCAAAATGTACCAGGACACCAGACAAGTACTACATCACAAACACAGTTTAAACATGCAACACATACAACTGGAATAATGTACAACCACCAAATAACACATAATGAGGTACTTCAACCATTCCCTTACAGGTTACACATCATAAAATCACACCAAAAAGTAAAATGAACATAATTTCACATAAACATTGTAACCACCAACATAAGAAAGAATTTATGTTATTTTACTGATTACATAGATTAGCAGTATTCCTTAATTTTTTGATTGTGCAGTGACTCACATGCATTAAAGTGTATATACATGAACCACGTGATGATTATATATAATTAAAACATGTAGTACAGAAGAACAGTGCCAGCTTCAAAAGATGTGATGATGTAATGAAGTGATATGAACTGTAAATTGTGTGACAGTGATGGTACAATATTAAACACTAGGATATTTCACTGTAGTATTTGAACTTTCAGGAGGTGAAGGGTATTCAGTAGTTCAGTATAAAAACATTTATCAAGTTTCATGCATCAAGTACTACAATGCATATGTACTTTGCACACCCAACAAAGATATAACAATATTCTCAATAAGTTACTTGCACAGACTTGTTATTAGGCATCATTTTTACAAGGTCAGAAATTGGAACATCTAGAGTTTGTATTTGGTAAATAATTTTACTTCCGTTGTGGGCTGGATAAGAGAAATGATTTGTCATAAACTAGATGTGATACTGGGTATTTATGTTCTACCATCTTCATTGTCATCACCATGCTATGATCCCTTAACTAATGTAAGGATTACAGTAGTTACCCACAGTATTTGAATAAGCAACAGATTCTTCTTATAAAATGTTTAATTTATTAGACAATTTGTCATTAAACTCTGCTGAAAAATTATGAAAATGGGAAATCAGAACAGCACATTCTCTGTAATTCTGTTTGGCCCAACACAGCTCTTACCTTGATATGTACATCCAAGTACCAAATGGCTCAAATTACTCTACGAGGGGATATTAACTGCCAACACAGATCAAGATTAAGTGCACTGCTACTCAAGCATTCAACAGAAACCTCCTTTAACCCTTTACAGCTGTGTGATAACTAAGTGTACCACATGTTTTAATAATCAGTACCACTGCATTTTGTATTTATGGGTTTTGTGACTCTCAGTACACAGGGATTGTTTACTTAAACAGCATTAACAAGTTGATCTTTGTAATGGTTTTCTTTACAATACATACCAAATTCCTAAATATTATTTAGATGAGCTTTAGCTATTAAAAGGGTTAGCAAATGACATGACACACCTTGCAGAACATTATTCTAATCTACACTATATGTACAGATTAAAATAAACACTCATATAGTAACTTAACAACATTCTGAGTTATAAAAATAATTTAGTAAGTTATATCAATGTGATTCCAGTTTCTATTGTGTGTTTTAGTGTTAGTTCACATATAATCATGGCAGTAATACTCATTAATGTTAAGAAAAATGAAGGGCAAACTAATACTGCTACAAATGTTAAGACATCACACAATGGTTGGTCATCCTTTACTGACTGTGCGTCACATCCCAGGCGTAGTCCAGCTGGCTGTGCGTTAGAGTAGCATATATCTATACTGTTAAACCTTGTAGCTGAAGTCTGGCTGGCCACCCCATAGTTTGGGAATTAAATATGTTACTCTTACAATAAAGGAAAATGTACAATTGAATATTACTGTCAGAAAAAGGAAAAGCAAGACAAAAAAGAGAACTACACAATAACAAAGTGTAAATAAAAATAAATAATGAGAAGTAAAAGAAAAAGAAACAAAAGGAAGATAGTTTGCTTTTGATTGCTAGTTGTATATATAATAAAGACAGTGTACAGATGAAAATCTTGATTACTAAAAATAAAGCATAAATATACAAAAATATTTTCACATCAGAAGAAACAGATCAAACAGACAATTCTACATTAAGAATACAATATGACACAGTTTACAATAATACATCAACCCACACTTCATAAGTCTTTGGGATACTTTTTGATAAAATCAGTCAGTTATAGAAAAAACAAGAGAGTCCATTTTTAAAATCAATACATTCAGTGCACAGTTAATCAAAAAAGTTATCTTAACAAATTTCAAGGAACGTTTAATAGGGATACCTCTGACATGGATGTAGTCTGCAAAGACTGGGAATGGCTGTCATCTCACCAACATTTAACTACAATTGTACAGAATGTTTTCCTCTTTTTCTAGTTACACACAAGCACACAATTAAGGTCACTACACACTCACTTCCATTACTGGACATAAAATTTGGAACACCCTGTAAATATATTTAGAATTTCATCCAGCACCAACTGTCGCACTGGTCATTTTATTACGGATATTCTTATTTGTGTACTTCATGTGTAACATCTGCTAAGCTAACAGAACACATGGATATACGTTACATGAGGAGTAAGACTCAAAGCATTGAATGACAAAATTTTGTTTGTTAAAAGCACATGAGTCATGAACAGATTCACTACTCTGCATTGCAGACACCACTTTGAACCTGCACCCTCTTCCTGCCTCAACTTCATGTTTTACCTTTAGCCAGTTCCAGAGGATTTATTAGAGAACTCGAAGTGACTGAAGTTAAATACTTTTCAAATAATAAGGAGCAAAACATTCAGATGAAATTCTGATTTAATTATATCTGAAATTTACATGCATTATGTAATATTTCTGCTATGAAAGTGCCAGGAAAAGAAAACAAGCTGTATACTATAAATTGACAATTCTGTATTCTGTACCATTATTACCTCTTTCTCAAAATTAAGGAAGATATTTTTTAAAACAGTAATATGTACAAGTGATCATTTAACATGGATTCAATGTGATATATGATCAATGGTAAAATGGTGCAAATTCACACTGAAACTACCATTTTCATAAGGTAGGAACATAATGACATTCATAATTGCCATTCAAAGTCCTTTTGCAGAAATTTCCTAATTTCTTCTCTGTCAGAAATTCTGTTGATAATACTGATGATTTTGTAAACAACTTGACTGGTGAGGCAAGACAACTTGGTATGTTGAAAGTATAAAAGATATTCTAAAGCATCAATTTAAAATCTAAAGATGTCATTAGAAAACACTAAAAAATGTTGAAAAAGTTCAATTGGCTGGGCAATTTAGAATATTACCAGTAGCAAATAGAAAATAGAGTATAATCATTCACCTGTGCATTTAACAGTAAGTATTATACTAGGTAAGAATATATCTGTAATACGTAAAACTGTTTTTTGGACTTCATCCACAACCTAAATTATATAATAAAATAATAAAACTACAATGTTCTGGAAACTGTATTTTACTTCCATCTTCAGGCCTAGATCTGAGGCTGGTTCAACCATGGTGCCTTAATAAATAGGTTTTCTGTCCCCTTCACCCCTCCTTTAGCTGGAGACAGAAGCAGAATCTAGCTTTCAAAACACCATTGTTTTATTATTTTATAATTTAGAGTATGGGCAAATCTCAGACAACATTTTACATATTGTAATGCACCACTGTCAGAAAACTTCAGACTTCGACAAGAATATATCTATGTAATATGAAAAACCTGTCACCTCTGCATGCACTGTATCTACTGGCAGTTTAACTACATGGACAGTTTTATTACATATTACCTACTTCTTATAATAAAGATAACAAATGTCATGGAGGAACTGGACTTCAAGACCGCTACAGCTAACAGTAATATTTTGTACTTACTGCATTATAATTGACGTTACATGTATTTTCAGTTAAATGGAGAATGTCAAGCAGAAAAAGGGCAAGACAATCATTTTGGTATTTAGTTCAAAACTTCAAGTCATACCAAGATGGCAAATTCCAAATTGTGTCCACAATACATCTGATGTTACTCCCTGTATTCCAAACTAAGTCACTTTGTGTTTATTAAGTACTGTAAGCCTGAAACAAATGGTGTAGTGAAGTTCTGGTTGAATGTATCTGCTGAAGGTTAATGCCATGTTTGTGGGTATACAAAGAGGTAGAACTCAATAGTTTTTGAATATAAGTGATACTTTACTGTTTAGAAAGTGATTTATGAAGTTTGTTTAATGGCAAATCATATAACAAATATTACAATTTATTCTGAAAGGATTAAAAGGTAATTGAGAGAATAACTATATGTTAGCTTCATATACATTCTGCTGGCCTGATCTGTTAGTAAATGGCACAATGATGAATTAAACAACTTCCAAAATAGTTCTGATTCTGAAATTATATAAAATATTCCATTATGTCTGTGCACATATTTTGAAAACATGTTACTACTTCCTTGCAGTACTTTCATCTCTTAAAAAGTATACATAAACAAAACTGCAAACCTATGGACTTTCACTGACATCCACACAACAGTACAACATTCTAACATGACAAAATTAATAGTTAAAATTTCAGGTTCTCATGGTGATGAGTATGAAAATGACTGTCTTCTGGGATGTTATACAGGGCACTGATGATGCAGGCAGTAAGCACCTCTGAAATATGCCAGTTTCTACTAGACTACATACTGCAATATTCCAGAAAACAGTCATCTTCAAACTAAAAGTTACTTTATTTTGAAATCACTACCAACTGCAGTCCTTTGTACAACATATTTTATAAAAATGCTATGAAGAGATTATTCTCAAGTCATTAAAAGGAAGAACTCTTCCTTCCATGTCAAAACTGTTTAGGGAAGCATCACATTACAATGTCTTTCCCCTGTAGTCTCTTTTGTTGATTATGTAAAACACCAACAGGAATTTGGAAGGCTGTAACTATAACACCCTCATACACTTTCCATATAAATAAGAGCAATTGCAATTTCAGTAGGGTAGTGGCCTGTTATATCCTCTGCGTGCCATAGGGAAAGTCCTGGCTCCTCCCAGATAGCTGTAGGTAGTCTGTCTGCGGTGTGGCAATGTTCTGTTTCGAGAGTACCCGTACCCATAACCCACACTGTAGCCCTGTGTCCCCACTGGACCCAGCCTTCCCTATACTGAAATTTCATAGTTCATATCATACACACTTGCACGGTCAGGAGTGGGTGTTGAGCTGCGATGAGGATCCTGCACCATGGATGTAGGTGTTCCCCCCATTGGGCCACCAACAGCCACAAGTCCACGATGTTCTGTGCGAGGAGTTCCAGGAGAAGCAGAAGTAAGTTCCATTGAGTCTGTCATTTCTAATGCGCGCACAAATGACATGGGTCTCCTGGAACCTGGACTGGGTCGACGTCCACCATCACAAGAAGACATCATAGTTGTTGATGTTGGAGTCGTAGGAGTGGCCATGGTCTTGCGTTTTATCTGTGGAGACTGAGGGGGAGGATATACAGGTACACCACCCCTCACTGGAGGATAATATGATGATGCAGAGGGTCTTTGTCCATATAACTGTTGCTGCTGCTGTTGTTGTTGTTGTTGTTGTTGTTGTGTGGGACTTGTTGGGTTGGATCTGTAATAGTCATAGACACCTGTTCGCTGATGCTGTGTGGACAACTGCTGGTGGTGATGTACAGGCCCAGCTACACCATTCCCTCCACTGACATACGCACCTGGAGATGTATCTTTCCACATATACACTCCCCGCTGTGGGGAACCTGCTAACTCACGTATATTGTCCACTGTGTTGTTGGTTCGTGAATATGCTAGTTCACCTCCTGATCCACCTTGTCGTACCAACTCTCCCTCCGACAGAAATCGCCTCTGAGGACTGCCGTACGTTCCTCCTGGTGCAATCCGTCCACCAGATCCATGAGGTTGAGCTCCATGATGTGGATGAGAGCTCCCCATGTGCTGTTGTTGAAGCTGGAAGTCATAGTAGGAAGGGGGACCACCTACTATACCCCCAACTCCAATAAAGTCTGGACGACGGGGCTGCGTTGGAGTACCCGGGTTTGACCTTTAAAAGAACTAACTCTAAGTGACTGACATATAGAAGCAAGATCAGGCAGTGCAGTAGCAATATATACATATATACCAATTTAAACTTACATACAAGAGCAGGAGTTTATCAATCAACTATTTCATTTACATCAATTGCGTAATACAATGATGACATTCATTATCAATTTGGGATTAAACAGATGACATACTTTAATGGTTGTGAGCCATTGGGACATTTTGATTACATTAGCAACTTTGATGACTTTAAAATATTATGTTATAAGAGTCAAAGTAATGTATGTATTGCACAAGCAAACCAAAACCAAAGTTTTGCAGTAAATTTGAGGCATTTGTTTAAAAAAATCTTTGAATTCATTTTATGTAGCTATCTGAGTACTCTTACATAGCATGGCAACAGGTTAAATCTAAATTATCATATCTTTCTATTATTATATATAAAATTTACTTTTGTGGTAATCCAAATCTTGCCCAACTTTCAGTTATGTCTAAAGCCAAGGTTCTGACATTAATCTAATATCAAAGCCCAAGTTGGAAAAATATTTTAATAATATAAAACACATTTTAAATGATATAATAAACATTCTAGTGTGACTAAGCAACTGACTGGAGTGGAGCTGTGTGTAAGGGCCCTGGCCTATTAAGAATAAACCATTTATATGAACAGCAATAAATAAAAATGCATCACAAAAATAGGTATTTATCTGGAGACAAAAAAAGCTACTGCACAAACTGCTGAGCTATGCAGATACCTAAAAGAAATAAGAATATGGTTAGGCAGAGCAAAATTAAGTTCAGGGACCTAGATACCTCACAGCAAGTTCCCCACATGATGGGAACCAAGTGGTGAAACATGAACAAAAAATATAAAACTGGCAGTTGCTACAATAAATAACCACTACTAAAGATAACAATTTACTATTTGCTGAAGTAAATGTCAACTGTGGTTTTGTGGGTTGTGATGCTATATATAAATGAAGATGGAAGTAACATGTCCCTCCAAAATGCTAGTAACCACAAATAAACCTACATGGCATCACAACCCAGAACACCAAATGTGACGATGTCACTTACACGAGAATCCCAACTATCAGGCCTTTAAGCACAGTTTCAATGTTACTTTTGGCACCCTACTTTCAATACTTGTCTCTCAGTTCATTTTAAATTAGATAGATCCAATGCCATGGCTCTTCCAATAGACAAGATTTTCTCTCCCAAACACTGTCCATTTATGATTCAAATCTTGCAGTATAACACAGGGACCCCTAACATACATTATATTTAATATCTTAAGAAAGTGGCATGTTTGTAATACAGCAGATCTATCAAACAACACAAGTAAATGGGGTGGGCATTAAGGTGACCCTTGCATCTTATCTGTTTGTCCCTGTTCTTCTAATCCGTCTGTAGTCCTGTGCTAACAGCGAAGCACAGTATCCTGCTCAGTAGAATCTGATGATAATTGCCTACTTCCAGAAGTGTCTACCCAAATGACAAAATTGTAAATCAGTCTGGGCCTCACAGGATCAAACAACATGATTTAATCATTCTTCCAATGGGGAAAGAAAAGAAATTGCAAAACCTCAGTATCTTACATATTAATTGTAAAGCTGAGGGTCAATGATCATGTGAAAACAAGAAAAAAGTTGTTTTTTTGGTGAAATATCCATTATAGCATGTCAAATGAATTTGATACAGTACCCACATGAATAAATAAGAAGCTAATATGCTATTGTGATTAATGCCAATTACTGATCTGTTTGACCCTACTGGTATCTGCCTGAACTGAAAGTGCTGAAGAAGCCTGAAGCACACTCCCCTTACCCTTCCAGTAGGATGATTATCAAAACATGAAGAATACAGCAAGTTGATTTAGAAGACTGGTAAGCAGAAATCCACAAGCCACATTAATGTGTTTTAACTATCACACTAGAAATATCATTATGCACATATATTACTACATTAGTAAAACTGATAATTTAAAAATGGAGGGTCATTCTTAAGAACTTGTTAGGTGCTTATTAGCTGGTCATGAAATTATTCATTGCCACGGCATCCAAAGGTTTATTATAGTGTTCACAAAAGCCTGCCATTGGATCCTATCTAGAGCTGGCTGATTCCATTCCATGCATATTTTTTTTAAGATTCATTTTAGAATTATCCTATAATCTATGTCTACGTCTTTGATTGGAGCATTAAACTAAAATGTCATATGCATTTCTCAACTCCCCCATGTCTGCTGTATGTCTTGCCCATCTTATCCTCTTTGATTTAACTGATCTAATAATATTTGGTAAAGAGTATAATTCCAAGCTCCTATTACTCCTTCTTTCTTAGGTCCAAATATTTGCCTAGCCCTTTGTTCTGATACAACCTCTTTCTTGTTCTTTCAAGTTTTACAACTGTATAATATTAAAAACAGTAACACAGAGTGTCACAATATATAACCTATGCAGATGATAAAATACTATTAAACAAATCAAGAATCAATCAACAATGAAGGCAAAGAACCAAAACACTCAGCACAACAGAGAGCGCTAAGCAAGAGAACGAGCAAACAAATTGGAAGTCATCCTGTTTACCTTGTGAGGTAACCAATCTGGAGTTAACTAATGAATCAGTTCAGGTGGCTGCCAGATGAGGAATGTCCCCTCAAGTGGTTAACATCACCTGAAGAAACACAATGCATGTGCCAACATGCCTACTGAGAATTCTGCAGCGAATCTCAAACACAACCCACCCATACATCTTTCCAGTGCACACAATGTACAAACACACTTATCATATCTACACGAGCTATTTCACTGAACAATCAGCTGTAATGTACTAATTAACAGATAATTTTTAGAGCGACAAAATTAAATGGCTTACAGTTCTGTACAGAACACAAGAATATGCAAAAGTGGGATGGAAATCCATATAATTTAAGTAACAATAAAACTTTGATTACACATATAATAACCAGAGCAATCATCAAAAGTCATTCCAACCCAGCTGCTATAGAATGTGCAAAAACTGATTTAACATTTAATAAATTTGAAAAACACTTACTAGATAAACCACCATGGTCAAGAAAAGATGCAGAGTTTAGTACAATGAAAGCTCAGTAGATGAGGGTTTGGAACATTTCACTCAGGACAACTCAAACACTAACTAAGATTCAAACTGGGTCCCTCCAAATACAAGTTCAGGATATTATCACAAAACCAATTTGCTCAATGAAGTGTTGAAAACCAAGTACTTTGCGCATTACATGTAACATAAAACTAATCCACAAGCATCAGCCAGATTGGATTATAGCACACACTTTCGTCATGATTTCACCATCTACAAACATTTTGCTGCTGAGAATAGAAGGAAAATGGCAAACACATCTGAGTGTGCTATTATATTTATTAATCACCAACCTTAGCAAGGAAATGTTAGCAAGCCTGTTTAGTATTTGGAAAGTCCCAGTTCCAAATATCATTAAACTGGCCATGAACAACATCCTTCCCAGTTCACACCAATAAATAAACCAAAACAGAAAACTAAGTAAAAACAACAACACCCTTTGATCATGCAGCCGAGTTCCATTTAATTATGTTCCTTTCAATACATTTGAGACATTTGGTTTGCAAATTCATTGTTTATCAGGTCATGGATAATCAAAGTTCTACTGTTTTAAAATTAATCTCTATCACGTGCTTTGGAAGCCATAATGATATTTATGTATTACATTCTGCTGATAGTTAAAGTAATTCTGCTGTAACAAAAGAGTAATGTTACACATAAAACAGCAACACGTGGCAAAATTACAAGCTAAAACAACTTCCACATAATCACCATGCACAGTGGCATGTTACAGTACAGTCAACAATGACTGATGTAAACTGTAGAAAGTTCATTTTAAAGCATTTTACTGCCTCATGCATACAACAACACATAAAGTAATAAATACAGAATCAGAAAAACTTCTCCCTTGAAAATGATAAATCATATTAACATTTAAATATATGTCTACTTTTTGAATCTTAGCTTCACTTTGTTTCATTATATGAAGATAAAGATTATTAAATACAAAAGGTGAAAACATTATATGAATCTAGGTATTAAAATGATGAAGTATATAATTCAAACACAACATGTACCATACATATGTAAAGGCAAGATTGAATATTTGAGTACACATATCTCTTACTACAGATAAAAATCTAGTGTTGTAAAGCAGCTGTAATTACACACAATCACACTGTGAGTCAATATGAATTTTCTTTTATTTCATTATCAGCATATCAAAAAATGTTCAAAACAAAAGTTTTAGATTTTAATGAGATTATATTTTATGTCAAGTACTAATTTTCATACATAATGAAATATTTTTTTTAGGAAATCAGTTAAGTTCCACTTGAGCTTTATATAAATCAAACTTGACCACCAACACTTAATGTTAACTTTCAATAAAAAACTTGAGTGAAATACAATCAATACTTTTCAAAATGAGACATGCAAACAGCAAAGCCACCACATGTGTTGATCTTATGCACTTTATTAAAAAAGTGTGAAAACCTAAATGTATGCCATTTAAGTTTGAAAAGTAAATGACTATCAGCAGCATGTATCAGTATCACTTACATTTATAAGATACTTGCCTAACTACTCAGAACATCAGACTTGTGAACACTGAAATCACCATCTATAAAGGCTATATCTGCAACTTCAAATAGAACAATTTCATGTCATGGCATGAAATCTCTATATGGAAAAAATACGTCTAGAAAAGCAAAACAAAGGTGACATAAGGAAACAAATTTAACACTAAACAAGACAGGTTATTATAAACTCCTGCTCCTGAACACTGTGTGTTGACTGACCTGCGGACAGGGCTTGACATGGCAAGAGGAGTTGGCACACCAATAGCTTTTATTCGCTGCTGCATTGTGGGACTTGGTCCAGGCCCTCTTGGGGCTGGTGACTGGACTTGCTGCTGGTCTGGTGACAATGGATCGGGTGTGTGGCTTCGAGATTGAGACACTTCCATACCCCTGTTCCATTACATCAATGAAAGTTATGTTCAATTGTGTTTCATTTCCATATCTAATTACATTTATTGCATACACCTATACAAAAGATTCTTTTTAAGGCACAAGAATAAACAATGCTATTTAATTGACTATATCAGCTGTGTACATGAAACTGATCTTCACAGACTGATTAACATGTTACACATACAAGTAAGTCATGGTATTACAAAGCACAAAGCTAGCTCCCTGTAAGGAATACTTATATAAGGATACATATAATGACTACTAAATATTAAATACGATGAAGTGCAAGAACAGAGCAGTCACCCTCGATGGACTAGTAGTTAGCGTTTTCGCCACTGGACCCAAGGTGTGTGGGTTCAAACCTGGCCGAGGTCAGTGGATTTTTAAGGGTGATAAAAATCTATACCACAACTTCCTTTGGAGGGGAAGTAAAGTCGGCGGTCCCATGTAGATTTACGGCATGTAAAAGAACCTTATGAGCATGAACGAGATGTTTTGTAAGCAAAATTTAGCGGCCATTTCTCACCCAAGTCTCTCCTAATTCATTGCCAGATGGCTCTAGCAGTCAAATCAGGATCGAGTAGAAATTGTGCAGCGTCAGTAGGCTGGTCACTCACTACTCACAAACGCACACTTCACACACTAGGAAACCTCCGAAAAAGGAGGCGGCAAAGACCCACAAATGGGTTGTATGGCCAAGGAACAACAACAAGAACAGAACAAAAACCTGTCCATAAACAATATTGAGTGTTTCAGAATGTAGGCATCAAAGAAAAGGAAAATTACAAAAAATGTTTCTTACAGTAGATCTATATGTATCGACTACAGAAAATTGTCTCTGGATACTGTCCACTGTTTGAGTAAAAAATACATATGTTTCAGAAGCAAGTTTGGTCCTAGTCTTGAAGGTGAAGGAAAGGGTGCCCATTAGATAAATATATACCATACCACTAGGCAATAAAATAAGTGGCCATGAGCCTCAGTGGAAAATACAGACAACACCCAAATCTCATATAATGATACAAGACAAATGTGAAGAACCTTCAGAGGCACATCTTTACTTCAGACAGTAAAGGTGTAACAGTTCTGTATGGTATATTTTGAATTGTCTGACATAAGGAAGTATCATTTCAACTACCTTGGCCTGGGATGTGGACTGCCACGGGCAAATGGACCTCGCATCTGTTGCTGTTGTTGAGGATGGCCTGGTTTGCGAGGGGAATCACCCCCTTCAACAGGAGGCAGGAAGAAGTTGCTTTTGGATCCATGACGCTGAAGTGGAGGAGTAGGCTCACAGTCTTGGGACTGTGATGCTGTAGGTTCCATGTCTGTATCAGAACCCTCCCCTCGACCAGGTGAGAGCTGAGAACAAAGGTGCACGATATGTTACAATTAAGTGACATCTGCTGAAATAATCAGAAATGTGATTACATTTTACATCATCTCATTTATCTTCAAAATGAAAAAGAAACATGATTAGAAAGGCATATTCTTCTGAGTACACTGACATTCTAAAGATGATTTTAACACTGTATCATGTAGGTCACTGTTGCACTAATGTGATCCCTGGTCAACTAAACTGTGTCACCATTCTGAGTGGCTGTAAAAATAAAGGAAAGCTATCCTGCTACATTCCATGGAGGTGGTTGGAGGGAGAGTTTTGCTCCTATTTGTACTTGCACTTCAAATTTGATGGGGTGAGTAGTCAGTTTCATGCCCTGACCACACTTCACCCCAGGGGTAGGACACTAGGTACCCACTGGACAGGAAGTTGGGTGGCCCGAGTGCCAATATGAACTAAAAATCCTTTGTACCTGCTGGGAGACTGAATTCCAGTCATCCCACCCAGTCAAGACACTGTCCTGACAGCTACCTCAGCTTCACTGAGTGGCTGTAGATAATCATAATGTCTGTGAAAAGTTGAAAAGAAAGTAATATTAATAACTAAAATGGTCACCATTCTGAATGGATGGACACAGATATGGCAGTAACCTGCTGCAACCCAGATTTGTACATACCTCTCCCTAACTTTAAAAATGATGAAAACAAGGAACTTGTAAAAGTGTCTGTGCATTCATTTAACAAACATATCATGTAGACAGCCTCTACACTTCACAAATTATCATAAAAAGTTAATAAATGCAAATAATAACCCAACCACAAGCTTAAAACACCTTATGCCACATTCTTTAAACACACACAAATTATCATATTAAACTTCAAAAATATGGCAACATTGATTAAGAGATTATTTTGTACTTTGTATGGATGCCACATAAATTTTAATTTGTGAAATAGGTATAACAGGGTTTAAAGTTCGGGAAGCACTAGTCGAAGACACAGAAATCACACAACTCAGATATTAAGTTTGCTTTACATGAATATTTTAACATAAAATACTTTTTACTGACATGCTAATTTTGGTTAAATTTCACATATTTACAGAAAGCTTAATCCTAAATATACACAAAATAGATAAAAAAATAGCTGCATGTTACCCAAAGAGTTTTATTTTTTTAATACCTGCAAAAGATATAAGGATGTGCAATTTACTCTACACTTACTGTTACCTGCTATATTTTACTTACACAGAAGTGCTTCTATGCTACTTCTGCTGGCTACAAAAAATGTAGCTCAACATTTCATGAAAAGGTTATTATATAATGGTTTACTTGACTTAAAAAGGCTACCTGAAACAAAAGCCACATATGCAAGATAAAACCAAGGATACGTTTGGGCAGAAAAGGTGATTTTATATTATTTGGAACAATGAAAGGTAGTGAACAGACAGCTCTACAAAACAAGGTATTAAGCCATGAACAGAAAGAGAAACCACTTGTAAGGAATAAAAAATAACATTACCTATCAACACTTTTAATTACCCGTATGTTTGCTCAGTTAATAACTATTAATATACTAGGTCAGTGATTTCAAAACATGTTCTATTACAAGCTAAAAGAAACTTTTTATTAAAATTACAAACCAAACACTGTTTCTGTCCTCAAACAATTAACTGTCACCATAAATAGCAGGATAGTTACTTAACCCTTTCCAGTCCAGTGCTGAGGGAGACTCAACACCATACTTCATTCAACTGGGCCTCATACTGAGGCAGCCTTGACACTCAGTTCTGCTATGATTTCTGCTCTTATATGGTGACTCCTGCCATATGCTGTCATAAGAATATTTTGTAGACGTATTTATGAGCACACATCAATGGAGTTGATTATACTCTAGTGAATGACTCCAAAACAAAACAATCAAAGAGTCAAAATTTTTGCAAAGAAATTTTCTAATTTACTGGCCCACAACACCACCAAAAGAACATGGACCAGTACAATACACAGTCAATCCAACATTGCTACCTAATCTATGTTAGAATACTTGGAGAATATCACACAATAGCAATTTCTTTTACTGAAGATTGATATACCAGTAACAAGCTGCATAATCTAAAAACCATTTATATGTCAATGCGGCTAGGAATTCTTGAAAAAGGTCAAGAGTCTGAAGTATGTAGTAATTTTTAGCCTTTTACTGTGCACACAAACTAAGATCAGTATCACAATACAACTGATTAAAATAGTTTTGTGTATGAAAACAAAAGCAGAAAGGAGTGATAAGGTGCACTACAGTGGAGAACATACATTTCAGGTATGTTCTTTGCTACCTTACTAACCCCAATGTTCATTTACTGTACACACAATCTATTGTTGTAATGATGAACACATTGCATCCTGTCAAGGATTATCTTCTTTGCATTTATTAAATATTCAATACACTTAAAAATGTTTCAACTTATAATTTTAGACCTTGACATGATCTATATTTTGTCAAGTACAAATTCTTTTGTAAGAAAGAAACATTTCTATGACAATCAAGAATTCTGAATTAGTTTCAAATAAGTAAGGAATGATAATGGATTGATTTCATGCAAAAGTAGTGTGTATGACAATTTTCAGTGTGAACTCCACACCAAATTTCAATAGAATCTCTTCAGTAATTACTGAGATGAAACAGCACATGGATTGACATAATTTTCCCTTCCACACGTTTTTCAAATAACACACAACTGTAGAGGCCAAAGTCTTGAGTTGTGGTGTATCTATTTTTGGCCTTAACTCAGGATTTGTATTAGGATTTACTTAGCTATGTCATGAGGGGAAAAAAGTGGCTATCACTACAGTGCTGTGTCACTGGAAACAAAAACTATTTACAAAACATTAGCAATTAAGTAGAACTGTAATAATTCACTTACAATATCAATAAACATATGTGAACAGAAATTTAATTTTAATCAAAACAAGTTCAAATGTAAACACAAGAATCTAAAAATTACATCAAACTCTGAGAAAAAGTACCACCACAGTTGTATGTAGCTATATATATTATATGCCAGGATCCCCACTTTGCTTGTCAACAATAAGCCAAGATTTGACAAAGCAACTAATCATGCAAAGGCAGTTTTAAGTACCAACCACTGTGCAATAAATACAAATTAGCATACCAAATTTACCAATCAAAAATGTAGCAAGAACTACGTTTAAAAAGCATTAATTTAACAATGAAACTAATATGGTTTAATCTCCTCAATTACTTCCTTTCACTAAATAAACTAATCCCATAGCACAAGACCCTCCTGATGCAGTCAACAGCTATTTAGCTGTTCCAAATATGTCCCATTATAATCTTGCCTCCATTCTAGTGTAATGCCATCATGCTGTGCTCAGCTGGTTTACCAAAATTTTGGAGAACCTGGATGTATCCATTTTCAATATGACATGATTAATAGTAACATGGCACCGATGTTTAAAGAGGCAGTGAGGAAGGCACAAAGCAATGGAAAATTCCATGCTGATATTGGTGGATGTGTGGTTAATAAGGAAGTAGAATGGAACTGAAGTATCTTATTCAGGACCAAATATCCACCAATCAGGGCTCAGAATTTCCTACCCTTAAATAATGAATCACTGAAGTCTTCTTGTGCCTGCAAATGGCTGATTTCCATTACTTTTAAATATAACTGCATCACTAACAATGATTCTTATTAATAAATGTTTTTCTAGCTACAATATCTCCTTATAGTTAGAGCATTTACAGTTCAAAATCCAATTTAGAAAGTACACTGCTGAATCTTAATATCATCTCCACCACACTTCCAAAATTTCATATTCCAGTCCCACATCCTGTACACACTGGCTTGGTTCTGCCAATGATTCAATAATATGTATAAAATCCCTTCCCCCTCCAAAACCAACCTAAAAGATTTTGTACAGCAAATGCCTGACAACTCATGAAATAGTTTGGAAATAACTGTACAAGAATAGCCAAATGAATTTGGTTTTAGCCTTGTTTCCTGAGAGGAAAAAAGGCTTACAAAGCCATCACATGGTATATCTGGCTCTAATGAACCTGGGACTTCTTGATGCAAAGTAACACTTACCATGAAACTTCGAATAATAGACATGCAGTTACTCTAATGTTCACTATTACAAATTTCTTATATAAACAATATCAAGATGGTGGCCATGCAAACATCTAAAAAATCAAAGCAAATCCAACGTATTTTAACACATATGTAATTTATCAGCACTAGAACCCCATGTTTCAAAACAGCTAACAACAAAAACTACACTTGCTAATTCCAACACAGTTCAGTCCAGTCTGCAATATATATTCCTGAAACGTGCAGTTTAACACTAATATCTCACATAATTGTCTATCAAGTGTTTGTTTTTGGAGAACTATCCCCAATAAAATAGTATCATTTTCTTTCTTCTTTCAACAAAGCTAACATGTCCAGCACACCAGACCCATTTAATTATCTTAATAATACTGTTTAACTATTATAACTTTCTGGTCATTTTATAACAGTACTACATGTTAATATGATCTCAATAAAGAGAACATGGCACCTAAAAAAGTAAGTGTACTTCCTCATAACATCAAAATAAGACCTGTTGCAGCCAGTTAGTTAGCTAGGTACATAACTAACTACATAAAATAAAGTCCTTCTGAAAAAGTTGATAGTCACCAGACATTGTAGGCACAAAAGGAAATTTAAACTTTGCATAGTGATAGATTATAAATATACCAGCCACTTTAATATTCCACCTTAACCTCAAAGAAAAGAATCACTGTAACAAACCATATTATATTACATTAACTGACAATATGTACTGAAGCACCAAAGTATAATTCAATATGCAGAACAGAAGAACACGGAACCATGGTGTATAAATTCAAATAACAAATTTTGTTCCACACTTAGGATACTTAATATAAGACACAGACTGAGGTTCACAGAGTAATGAAAAGTGAAGAACTGAAATTCATCTACAGAGATCCTATTACAGTATATACATTCCAGGAACTGAGGAACACATTTTAGAAACTAGATAATTTAGTCATCCCAAGAATCACAACCAGGAAAATTAATGCACCGAGAACATTTATAGTTTCTGTGTGTTAAGCCATCAATCACAAAAAATGTATATAAAACACTTACTCCTGAAGTACATAATCATTTTTTGCCATAATTTAGTTTCATATGTTAAAAGCGCAATACTATGAATCAAGTCTTGACAGCAGCATCAGTACAGCAGATGACAAAAACAAAATTTCCCCTCTATCATGAAATACAGCCTGATGTCTAGCTCTGCACATAAAATCTGCTCTTGTACACAATATCAAGATATTACATTAACAAAAATGATTTTACTACTGCCAAAAACAACAAAAAACCATCAGAATAACATTTTAAACATAGTTAATCTTACAAATTACGTGAATACCACAAAGGGGTAGTAGCTATGGTAATGATGCCACATCAAATATAATTTCTATTATTATAAATATATTGTCCCCAATGTTTGTAATACTGTACATCAGAACTTGGTGAAACACAAATTCCATGGTTCAAAATCTGTTTCACAGAAAGAATATCAAAGCTTCCTATATGAATCACATTATCAGTTTGAATCAAGAATTCAGCATGCAACTACAAAATGCAAGAGAACTACAGAAGAAACTGCAACTAGCAGAACTGAAAATCAATACAAAATACACAGGGCGCATCCTGGCTCTTACCTTATTGTAAGCATTCGAACTGGCATTTCTAACCCCATTGCTGTTATCCATGTAGGTTTTTACCTGGTTTTCATTGGTAATGGTTGAAATTGCAGAGGCTGACAAGGGGTACCGTTTCGGCTTTCCCACGTACTTACTCGCCTTCAACAGACTGAAATACAACACATCAAATTACACGTTTGCGTGAAAATAATTTACCATCAAAATAATTATCTAGGTATGTTCAAGGAAACAAAAACTAGCCTGGCCCTCTTAGACTATATAAAACAATCTGATAATGTTAACAAAATGCAGACAACATGGCAAATTAATTATGGCATTACATAAAGTCTGTGAAGCCAACTTTATATCTGCAAGAGTTAAATGAGAAAATTAAAAAAGAAAGAAACAGATATTACTGTAATGAAATGATGTTTCAAATCATTGCTCCTCATTATATACTGATACCCAATGAGTGTTTCTATTTAAAGAAGATAAATATGCATCATGAAGGCATAAAAGCTTATTTTCAAATATCTCCTTATATTGATGGGACCAGAATACTCAAATTCTTAGCACAGTGTATACAGCAATAGGATATGCAATGCATGTGCACCTCCACATTTATCAATACATCCATCTTCATACAAATACATGGAAACTAAGATAAAATTTTAAATGGTGAAATGACCTGTCAAAAATATGACAAGTAGAGAGTAGTCCACTTGGATACAGATAAAATAAAAACTTTTAAATAGCTACTGATAATTTTTTTAAATCCCAATATTTCATACACTTTGTCTATAAAAATGTAATGAGGCCCTTTTGAGCTTAGGGAATTCCGTTACAGCTGGGGTATATGGCAATGTCTTGTGCTGGCTGACAACCGACAATACACACACTCCTTACTTCCTGCTACAAGAAAAGGGCAAGTTTTAAAGGTTAAACTTTGCCTAATGGCCAATAAAGCTTACATGTGCATTGTTGCAAAGTATACTGCTGCATATTCTGTATTCCTATGTGGCAATCTGTGCTACCCAAATTTCATCCTCAAATACAATGTTCATAAATGGTTTTATGCAAAACTTAAAAAAGGCACATGGTATATAGATAAAATATGATAAAGTATTCTAACCTGGGATACTGTGGTCCACATAAAATGTAACAGCAGTTACGAGGACATCCTCGAGAGAATGGATTATAACCACCTTTAAACTTTCCAGTAACTTGCTCATTTGTAGTACGACCTCTTGACACCAGAACAATGTGGAAACCAGTAAGACCATAAATTGGTATAACAAGCAATACTATTATTCCAATTATAACCATACTTTAAATACTGTTAAGGATGAATATAAACACTGCTTAATATTCAAATAAAAAACAAATATGCTGATGTTCTTTTGGGTTCTGGCACCATGTGGAATGGAAGCATACCGTCACCTTTGGAACTAAAGTGACAATGCTGAGAATCAGAAGGATTACACAGAATGACAGGGACAGAAGACTGAAGGAATGGATCAATCAGGATGGAAAGAGGTAGAGACTTAGCTGGGCCAATAAGGAGACTCCAAACATCAAAGGACTATGGGTGGATGGAGGAGGAGGGTAAGACAGAAGAAGTCAGCCTTTACCAGGGCCAAAACAGGATAGATTCCTTTGTGAAAGAATGTCTCTAGTCCTTCAGGTCCATTAAGAGAAAGAAGCCAGCTTTCCTGTTTATGTTGTCAAGATGAAGCCTGATCTCTATTGCTTCCCTCATGATACTGATCAGTTCACATGGCGCCAGAACCCAAAAGAACTTCAACATCATCAGCACTGTGAAAACCTAAAATCTAATCTTACAAAGCACAAACACCACAGAGCAAAGACCTTCTTGAGAAGCTAACAGCTGCTCAGATAGTCAGGAAGTTCTCTAACCATTCATGGTAACTGAAGATTAATTTCCATGATAACAAGATCCAGATACATTTTTATGTTTTGGGCTCTCTGCACAAATCCATGTTTTTTCAAGTTAACGCCTTCTAATGCACCCTGCATAGCTTCTTGGGAACCCATTTGAATGTTGACTGCAAATCAGTTCAAAGAGTTTTGCTTTCACTTTATCATATGCAAACACAAAAAGAAACAAATTTGTCAATATTATTCTTCCGGGTTGTGAAATTACACCCTTACACTGATTCAGAGGAAGATATAAATTTTTTGGAGAAACATACTGTCATCACTACCCTGATAATTGAGATAGTATGTTCACAGCTGAACACAGAGACAGTATGTTTCTCCAAAAAGTTGGTATCTATCCACTATGAGTCCACAGTGTCATAACCTAGAACAGCATCAGCATCTTCACCACTATGACAGCCTCCAATCTCACAACAAAGAAACATTAAATGGCATGTGTCTGAACACCTTCAGTATAAATACAAAACTACCATTAATTTCAGGTAACACTAACATTTTCCAAATAATCTTTACAGTAAAATGTGCTTAAACAATGGCTCATAATTAATTTCCTGAGAAACATGTTTTCTTTGTAGCTTCATATGAAGACTTTCTATGCCAAAGTGTTCATAAAATTAGCTAAAAGTAGTTCAGTATACCAAGATATTGCAACTTATTTCCTGCCTCTAAATAAAGGATACGCTATGATTGTGTTCACTTCAGTCAGTTCCTCCCTGTGATAAAGCACATACACAAGGCAGAGCGTAAAAATGCTTGTGATGTGAATGCTCAGAGAAATCAGAAACATAAAAAAGAAGCGGTAGTTGCGGCGTCCAATACAATTGTTCACCCATGGGCAATGGTGGTCAAACGTCTGCAAAAGTACCATGGACTGCAATCAGTTATGTACCATCTTGCAAGTAAGAATAACAGCATCTTTAAGACTGACAACTTTAGTTCATTTCCTCACAAATTGAAGATACACAAAACAAAGAGAAACCATATTGAGAAACTAACTGCACTCTTCTTGTTCTCAAAAATAAATAAATGTGGAGATAAATATGATATTTTATGGGCTCAAAGACCATTACAGACACAGTGATTAAAAATCACATCATTGGGAATTTAACCATGGCCACCCACACTGCAGGCAAACATGCTATCAACTGAAATATCACAGACAATGTCAATGCATCTGCTTTTATAGACTTACTGAGTAACAGTGAAGAATGTGGAAAATAAAATTGCGCACTACAAAGAAACAGTGGAGTGTCAACACCTAATATTTTGCCAGAGGAAAGTCCACTATTACAATGCTAAACCACAATTCAATCTGAGGGTTTCAACTGCCCAGGTACCATTGTTAGTACAAAGAATAAACAAAGAGAAGTGTGGATTTTTAGAATATGTACATCTAATGAAACAAACCACTATTGTGGTGAATACCTTAACCTACCAACAGGTCTATGCCAGATATCATATTATAATAAGCATGTTACAAAAATAAGAATAACAGTGAAGCAAATTAAATATTTATTTGTTTTTGTGTGAAGTTCAAACAATCTTTAATTTTATTACGTATTTAAATTGGTTCAAACCAGTATTTCCCAAAATCCATTAGCGAATTCTTTAGCTAAAAAATTAATCACGGAATACCAAAACCTACAATTAAAACAGCACATGAAAAACAATACTATTGTGAGCAGTATATAAAAAAAGATAGAAATAAAATAACTTACAATTAAAGTTTTTTCTACACCTTCAGTATCTGAGGAATACTTCCGTTCTTATCACAGTGTCCAGACAACTTGAATAACTCTACAGAGATGGAGTCTCACAACAGGTGTTCATGTATCTTTCTATTTGTAATTTAAACACAAAGTCAATTGTTAGAATTAACATGTTAAATTTTTGGATACCCCAGGGTTCTATGGAACATAGTTCAGGAATCAATGGTTTACACCAATACATGAAAACTTTCACGGAAGCACACAAACCCCTGTTTAAAAATGATGGTTTCATATACAGGAAACTACTGATACTGTAATATGAAGCATATACCTCAATACAAACATTGCAGACACTACAGTGAGAGCAGCGCGGTGGTCGGTAAAACTGGCATGTAACACACCATTTCATTCGTACAGTAATACCATTGATTTCTACATTCTTATAAAGTGGTGCTCGAAAATCATCCTCCCTGTCCTCTTCTGGGGAAGCTATCAACACAAACATTAGCATATAAACCATGATTTTCAGAAACTGGTTTATGTTTTGAGACAATTTGATACACACAGTTTGGAATGTTAGGTTGAAAGTATCACTGTGAAATTACACTCTGAAGGTTCAGAAGGGATAAAGCTGTAAAGAACCAGTTTTTACTCTGTAGAAAATTACTGATAAAAGAGAGGGATTTAATGAACCAAATGTAATAAAATGTACAAATTTTTAAAAGATATATATGACAACTTTTAAAAATTCATAAATTTTATATGACAGGATCCACAAACCAACGTCATGGGGAATCTTAACATTTAAAAAAAACTTATACTTAATTAAATTTCTGCCAAAAGGTTTTATATAACACTGTTGTTAATAGTAACAATGAGTGACTAAAGTTTAAAACAGAATCAAAACTGCTACAACAGTAAAACAAAGATGTGGATATTTTTTCTCTGTTATGTAATCTGTATATTAAAAATAATACGGCTGAAACAAGCATGGCATTAAAGGAATTTATATCTCATAAAATATTAACATTACTGCTCCTGCACACTGATGATCAGGTTCTTTTCAAGAAGCCTGAGAAACAACTACAATGAGCGACAAACAGTCTGTCAGAAACCTGTTGATGGGGACAGAGATGGTCCCTGAAACATCAGTTTCATCTTTTCAACCATTTGATGTGGCTGAATGCCTGAAAAGATTTTGAGTTACATTGCCAAAAAAGGTTCAAAACACACCATCCTTATATTAACTTAACACAAGGCATAACTATTTGTATTGCGGACAAAATTTATGGCTTTGAAACAAAATGTTTGAAAACTGTAAAAGATAATCAACCATATAATTAAACAGGTAAAAACATTTAAATATCTCAGAAACACAAAGTCAATTAGTGGTACACCTGATCTAGAAAACAAGAATAATAGTCTCATGAGGGAGGGGAGAGAGGGTTAGAAGCAACTTTGCAAGAAGCATGTTAATAAAAGACAATTAAGATTATACAAAATAATAGCTAAACCAACAAGTCTGGATCTGAAATTGGATCACTAAGAAAGGATGATGAATAAAGACTGGAAGATCAAAAAGAAAATTACTCAGAACACTGTGGATATTACTCAGAACACTGTGGATATCCCTAGAAGAGGCCATTTATATAATGAAGAAATAAGAAACAGGCCCTAGCAAATTTATCGCTGACAATGTAGAAAGAACAAGAAATTTCAGAAGTGTCTGAAAAGAATGAGTTCGAATTTCATCACTGGGGATTGGCAAGGGAAGTAGCCATACTTTCCAACAAGCAGTCTACTAAATATAATTATGCCACAGATTAAATCTTCTTTACTTAATTACAATGCATCAAAAGCTCCAAATTTTATATTTCCATATTTCATAAAACAATACATTCACATTCTACATTAAACTTCACATTCAACACCTTCATGCATGATTATGTAATAAATGGTCTGCAATGGAAAATATCACTGCCTGTCTGACCTGTCCATATGCATGGGTAAGAATATACTTAGCAACAGACAACTTTATATGTAATTACACTTCATTAAATTCCAAAACACAAATTCATCAAAACCTGTAAAATTTAAACTCACAAACTGATAAATACTTTAAACTTCGCCAACAGTCATGCAATGCATGTTCACATATCTGCAAAGGAGATACTGACATTGGCTGTATTCCCCTTCAGAATACAATTTATTTATTTACATTGCATAGTTCCTTCATCAAAAGGTTAGCCTGGCTTGGCCATGTTGCAAGAATGGAAGGAAACTGGGTAACTAGAAGAGTGATGGAATGGAGACCGATGGGAAGAAGGATGAGAGGGAGACCACTGAAACGATAGATAGACGACGTGGAGGAGGATGTGAGGACGATGGGAGTAAGGGGATGGAGAAGAATTGTGAATGATAGGACAGAATGGAAAAAATTCATCAAACAAGCTAAGACCCACACAGGGTTATAACGCTATAAGAAGAAGTAGTTCCTTCATAGGCCTAAGCCAAAGGTCATAGCACAAATGCAATACTTCTTTCTATTACAAATATAAATACAAAGATATAACAGCTATTTACATATTTTTGGAACTACAGTAATACAGCAAAATAATTATGATGAGAAACCAGCACCAAAATATGTTAGCTTCCTCTTTAATTTGAACAAAACACAAGAGGAATGAAGTACATACATGATGGCACAAATTGTACACACCTCTTGGAATTATTCCTGGATCCATAAATGTAGCCAGTGTAAAGTTGGCAATCACAAACAATGTGATTACACCTTGGTAGGCTGGAACCCATGGATATGATATGTAATAATAACAACATCTAGGAAAAAAAAGCAGAAATTATAACAGCATATTCAATTAATATTAAACAGCTGCCAACATAATTAAATTCAGTCCACCCAGTCAGCCCCAAGTAGCATCTACCAACTTGTATGAGTAATTATAATTCCCATCAAGTCTCAGCACTGTACTAATTTCAGGATACTGTGATGAAAAATTACTTCACTGTTAATGTGGTAGTAAAAATAAACAAGTTGTGTGTACAAGTAAAGTAAAGCAGTCCCACTGCACGCCATGTAGGTCGCTCAGGGGAGAGGAGATATAGCTCCTACTCATTCTTGACCTCTACTAGATGGGGGTGGGTGGTCAGCATCACATCCTGGCCATGCTTTAGTCCTGGGAAAGGATGCCAGTACCCCTTGGATAGGAGGCTGGGTGGGCCCCAAAGCTGGTCTGGATGCAGAGGTTAGAGGAAAAATCTTCTGCTCCCATCAGGGATCAAACCCGTCATCCAACCCATAGCTAGTCACTATACTGACTGAGCAAATTTCACCCACAGAACCTCAAACCCCTCCCCCCCAAAATAACCAACTACAACTTGATTTGTAACCCTTCAACTCATAAACCCCCATATTATATCACCAACATGAATGGTCATCCCCAAATACAGACTTAAGTCAGTTCTCCATTTTATTCTAACCAAAAAATCCAGTCAACTGTAGAAACAAATTGGCAGCTTTAATGGTAATTTTAATTAATTTACTTCAA